CCATTTTCTAGGATCCATCTCTTAAATTGTGTGAGTCAGAGTAACTCAGATGGTGTTGAGTAAGCTGGAGTAAGCTCTTCTTGCAAACCTGACAAGCAGGAAAACTTGGTTACCATTATCCTAAACTTGTTAAGTATTTGTTTTTAAATCCCCCACATCATTCCCTCATTGAGTGAATGGCACAATGGATGTGAACAAATGCCCTCAGTCTCTGTGGACTCTCTTATATAGCTCTACTGGCTGAACCACTTTCCTTTCTAACCCTACAAGAAACAGTAAACTCAGACCTTCTGATTTAACACTAACATTTTATTATTAATAGAATCACATGATATATAACCCCAGCATTCAGAAGCTGGGAGGAAAGATGTCATGAATAACTGGCCTCCCTGGGGATGGAAAACAAAACAACAAAATAATTCTATTCAAGATGGGAAGGACAGACCTAACAATTTTAACTCCTTTGCAGTCAGAAAATCACATTTTAGGTTCCTTTTTTTTAATAAAATTTTCAACTTTCTTCTTTGTTGGTGTGATTAAATTCTCTAACCAGAAGCAACTCAGATAATTAATAGGTTTGTTTGTTTTGTTTTTTGTTATTGTTTTGTTTGGTTAATACCTCTAGGCCACACTCCCTCCTTGTGGGAGATTAGGATAGAAATCAAGCTAATAAATGAAGGGAAAATATAAAGAAGCATTGCTTCCTGGTTTTCTCTCTTGCTCTGTCACTGTCTCATCCTAAGCTAGCTCTCTTATCCAGCCCAGCCACAGTTTCTTAGAGCTATTACCAACTCAGTGGAAGAGGCTTCCCACATCAATCAAAATCAACTCAATCTCTCTCAGACTTAGCAACCAGATATTTTGGTCTAGGTACACTCTCAACTGATGTACCCCCAGATGACTCTAGGCAATGTCATGCTTACAGCTGAGGCTAATTAGGGGGAAAAAGACAATAATATAAGAGGGGGTTTTAAATATCCAAAGCCAATGTATTAATTATATTAATCACTTAAGCATCAAAAACAGAAACATGAATATAGAAACAACCAGAAACCACACACATGCCTGGAAATGAGAAGAGTCAAGCCTCTAAGATCAAGAAGAGAAGACTAAAACTGTATCTCCACACAAAATTCACAAACCATCAAAAAACAATGAACTCATAACAAGAAATATTCAGAATACAAAATTGTTGAAGGTCCATAATTATCCAGAGGAACAGCAATATAATTAGATGATAATAAAACTAACAACATCAATGGCACCACATTAAAAAAGGAATAGTAAAAAGAAACCTACAAACATATCATGGTCCCTTAAACAAGAACAAAAGGATTCTAATCAAAATCTTTCTACAAGAAATCACTGACCAGCACACATCCTGTACAATAATTTTTTTCTTTGCCAATAATAGAAAATGTGTTGTGTGAGGAGGGTGTGCCACCAAAATTGAAGAAATTCACTTCAAGGTTTTTGATGTTTTAATTATATAGAAAATCATTTGACTTCTAAAAGGATCTCATTCTTTTATGATAAAGAAAAAGAAGTCTGTTAGGAACACTTAGAGACCATTTTCCCCTATGATGATTGCCTATAAGTCTGAATCAAAGTGAAGACATAAAAACTTTTTAAAACAAAATAAAAAACAATAGATTTTGAATGTATCAGTATACACCTAAAACAACTTGTTTTGCTCTAATTGCTTATAAGTTATAAGCATTTTGAAAACAAGGTTTTTTTTTCAATTTTTACATATGTTTGTGCATGAGAAAGAATGTTTTCAATACATATACAGGATCTGGAATAGTAGATAATTATGAGCTTCTCAACTTGAGTGTTGGTATCAGAACTCAGGTCATTCTCAAAAAGAATATGTGTTGAGCCACCTGCCAAAATCATAACATGTTTTATCCAGTAAACCCAAAGTCTTTCACATATAAATCACAACCTAAATAAATACAGAAGTAAATAAATGATCCTTGTGAACATGATTCATCAAGATGAAGTTTTTGCATATGGTAAATTTACAGCATAAAATGAACACAGTCCAGTAACAATGCTCAACCATTTACAACAGGATAACTGATTACAAAGCTACTTTCACAGTGAAAACACTCAAAGTGATCCCTGGGATTATAAAAAAAAATTGTACACAGGTTGAAATAATATGATTTCTATACTTACTACTAAGGTACAGTGATCAAGAATGAGTGTAATATTTGTGAAAAAATGAAGAGGATAGAGAGAAAAGCAAAAAACAAAGGCAGAAAAATATAGTGAACAATAAATCAGAGACCAAAGGTAATTTAACCAGAAAAAAATGTAATCTTGAACAATGTTACCCAGTTACCCATGATTCTATGTGTATAGAAAGTAAATAAGTGCAGACTTCACAACTACCACAAAATTAACTCAAAGTGAACCTTGAATAATTTATTTTAATCCTCAAGCTACTGATAATTCTTACAAATGCAGAAGCCCTATGCTCTAGACCTCTCTTTGCAAAAGGAGGAGATCTCTTGGGACGGCTCTGTAGACCCTTATGCTTCTTTGTGGTTTCAGGTAAGTCCAGCTGCACTGATGTCCAATCCCAAAGCAACATAGAAGAATAAATTATAATCTGCTTTATTATGTCACATGGACTATGGCACTTAATGTGAATTCTATGCAATCTATCTATCCAACACCATGCACACCTAAGAACCTCTGTAGCTCATAAACTCCTTTATCCCCTAGAACTAAACTTTGCTGAATCACACTATTGCAGCTGGTGGTATCAGAAAGTGAGAAGTGTTCTGATAGTGTACTGCTGAAACATAATCCACATCACCATCTTTCTACCAGTTTCTAAAATACTGAATACATTTATAAGAGAAACCTGAAAGTGGAATGCAATATTCAGAACTTTTAGAAACCAGACATTCAGTGTTCTAATGTGTCTTCCAAATGCACACCAAAAGCTTGCCTGTGGGTACTCACTGGACAGTGAGTGATATTACAAGAATCATATGTTCCCATGCCAGGACTGTAGTCTCCCCCTACCAAAGAAATCCATTCACAGTGAAGCTCAAAGTGCAAGGACCACTGTCCAGGTAACCACATAGACCAACAGAACCATAGTCTGGCTCATCATCCATCCAAATACCAACAGAAATAACCGCTCAACAGACCTGCTCTGAATACCCTATCCTCACCATGGCATAGCTGGTCATCTTCACTACAACTATTTACAGAAGAAGCAGAATGTAATCATGGAATGAATCTGCAAGCTACCTGCCACTCTTATTACTCATTGAAAAGTATTCCATAAGTTTTCATTGGCTAGGGCCACCCCGCTGTGCCTCAGCTCTCCTACTGGGTGATCAGAGATCAAAGGACACAGAGAGCACAGTCCTTCCAGCTCTGCCCTTCCAGTCCAGGGGACAAGGTCCTAGTCTAGAAAGTTTCTATTTTTTGTAGGCATTCGTCTACTCTCCTAGAGCATATCCTCTATCTCATCCAAAGCAGAGGTTCCTTTGTGAGAACATTTAATTATACACTTAATATCCAGTGCTACCAACCCATTGCCTCATCATATCTGGAAATTGTGTAGCTCAAAATGTTCACATTCACATAGTAACTGTTGTTAGTGCATAACTCTTGTTAAAGAAAAACAGACCATGAATTAGAAAACAATGAGTGGTCATGGTATGGCTTGGAGACAAAAAAGAGGATGTGGATACGATGTAGATAAAACTCAAAAATATATTTTGAAAAGTTGAAATGGGCCGGGCGGTGGTGGCACACGCCTTTAATCCCAGCACTCAGGAGGCAAAGACAGGTGGATTTCTGTGAGTTTGAGTCCAGTCTGGGCTACCAAGTGAGTTCCAGGAAAGGCGCAAAGCTACACAGAGAAACCCTGTCTCAAAAAACCAAAAAAAGAAAAAAAGTTGAAACGGGTATGATGGCCATGTGCTCCAGAGTCTAGGGATTTTTATTAGAGCACATGAAAGATTTCTCAAACCTTTAGCTCTGGGTGTATATCTAAAACCTGAAAAATAACATTCACATTAGGCATGGTCACATTTTACCTACATGTATTTTGATGGAACTACTGTAAATATAGCAATTTGGTTTCATGATAAAGTCAGTCCTTTATCCAGATTCTTGATTGCCCTTTTCTGTGGACCCCAAGAAATGGCCAATCCGGACATTTATGGAACGTCTAAAATTGATTACCTAATTCCACATAGCTATTCTCAAGTACTCTTGAAGTTGGAAATCTGTCAACCCCCAACCTGCCTCTCCCTTTCTGCACTGTGACTCCACCAGCTTCAAAGATGATCAACGAACTCAATTCTTGCACAGGTCCCTCTTCATTTATAACTCTCCACTAAAAGCAAGAGAGATTATGGGTCACTCATTAACTACTTTGTTTTTTCTTCTTATTGACCAATCAAGGCCCAGAATGGAAGGAATTGGAGGACCTCACACGTAAAAATTAAATGCAAAACACTAAACCTCTATATTTTAATAGAAGGTATTCTCTAAGTTTGGCATCCTGCTTTCCATGGGTTCACCGAAAGCATGTTGAAGTTCAAAGATTTTTTTTTTTTGGTTTTGGAAAAAGGGTTTCTCTGTGTAGTTTTGGTGCCTGTCCTGAATCTCACTCTGTAGACCATGTAGACCAAAATCCACAGATACACCTGGCCCTGCCTCCAAAATGCTGGGATTAAAGGCTTGTGCCATGACCGCCTGGCTCATGCACCACCACCACCCAGTTTCAAAGATGTTTTTAAGCACAGCTCCCTACTTACAGCTCTGTGATCAGATACTGCCCATAGAGCAGTGATTCAGAGGCCTGCCCCTGGGTCTAGGGAGTTTTAAGTACCACGTGGGACCTCAGAGGACTAAGATTCTACAGGCAGGTTCCCACCCAGGTCCTGGGAGGACAGACCACAGTGGATTCTACACCTCACCATCTGCTTCAACCTATCTGGAGACAGAAGCAACTCACTCACCTTGTCAGGGATTCCTAGGTCAGCCATGCTCTCTGCTCAACTCCCTGCAGCAGGGCTCACAGCACAGCACACAAAGCCAATAGCACCAGCTCCTCTTGAAAGCCAAGTCTGAAACCTATGGCAGCAGGAAGAACCCTGCACCACTTTTGACTGGCAGGTCACCTGGAGGACCTGATTGGCTAGTGAGACCTGAGTGACAAGAGCACATCCCATAGGGTTACAATGTGCTTAAAAACACAGCACAATGGTTCCTGTCCCTCCCTTCCACCCCAGACAAAGACTTTTCTAGATCAGCAGAAATATGCATTTCAATAGCACTTGCCCCAGGCTGTAAAGCAGACCTGCTTTCTTCCTGCTCTCCATTGGCACTTCCTTTTCCTCCTCCTGGACACAATGTGGATAGCTAGCTTGTCCAGCACACTATACTATGTGGGATGGAGTGATTCTCTGCCACACAGGTAAAAGGGGGTGTCCAAAATTTTAACAATATTGAGCCGGGCAGTGGTGCCACACACCTGTAATCCCAGCACTTGTGTGGCAGCAGAGGCAGGTGGAGCTCTGTGAGTTTTGAGGCCAGCTTGGTCTACAAAGTGAGTTCCAGGAAAGGCGCCGCTACACAGAGAAATCCTGTCTCCAAAAACCAAAAAAAAAAAAAAAAGATATTTAAAGACACACAAAGAGAGTGTTTTTTGTGTGACTTCACACTGACATCAGGTGAACTGAAGGTACTTTTTACCTGGTTGTCACAGGGACTGCAGACAAACAGCAAAGAAAAGCAGAAACTAGATCACAAACACGATAATAGGTCTTTCTTTCATCAGAAACCTGGATGATGGTTCCATTGCTTAAGGAGTTTTATTCCTGAAATTGAGAGCAAAATTTTGGCAAATTAAATAATTATAAAGAGTAGTCTTCATGGAAAGTTTAATACTGAGAGAGTAATGGAGCCAGGAAGAAAGCATTTACGAGCACCATTGTTAGCTCGCACATCTTTCTCCATAGACAGGTAAAAAAAGAAAAAAAACACAACTGTATTATTAAAGCTTCTCTACATGATCAGGATTCATAGAATGAATCTCTCCATTTATGTACAAAGTTGATTTCATAGAATATCTTATAAGCATGCAGGGTGGGAAGAAAAATGGAAATATCAGTAGCCATCTTGAGAGACGGTTGCTCCTCTCCTCCTCCAAAGGTATTTGCTGATTAGCAGTTTTAGAAGTCACCAGAAGTTGAACTTTTAAGGCGGGGACAATAAATCTATGTATCCTGGACTTGGCAAAACAAGATATAGGGAGTAATGGGTTGAATTGACCAGAAGTTAAACTCAAAGGAGATTAGGACTGGAACAATAAATCTGAGTGTATATATCTTGGGTTTAACAAAAGCAGGACATAGGTAGTAAAAAATATATCTCTATAGATACCCTGAATCCTGCTATTCATCAGTAACCTCATGCTTATAGTTCAGCCAGTAACTTCAAAGAACTACCTCACCCCTAGCCTCATTGTCCAATCCCCAGGTGCAAGTAAACATTTCTTATATAAACCCCTTAAAGTGAGTGCCCAGGCTCACTGTGTCAGATGTTGGGCATGGACCAAGTTTGCTTGTTTTGTTATTGAAAACCTCTGTGTGCTTTCATTGGTTAATGGCTCTGTGGTGGTCTTGGTTGGGAGTCTTGCGACCTGGACACAACAGGAAGGAGATCATTTTAACTAGCCTTGCCTGATGTCTGTCTCAGGGCTGTGACATTATTGCAGAGAATTTCATTTTAAAGCTTTATTTTATTTTATGTATATGGATGTTTGCCTCCAGCTGTCTGTGCAGAGTACTTGCAGAGGCCAGGAGAAAGTTACAGGAGATGGTTAGATTTAACCTGTTCCCTATGTAACAACACCTGGTGCTGCTTTTAACTGTTAAGCTATCTCCCTAGGCCATTTTTTTTTTCATTTTTCTTTATTAAGAAATTTTCTACTCACTGCACATACTATCCACAGAACCCTCTCCTACCTCTTCCCACCCTCCAGCCATCTTTCTCAAGACACCCCGCATGCCCACATTCCCCAAATCAAGGTCTCCCACAGGGAATAAGCAGAGCCCAGCACACTGAGCCTAGTTAGGTCCCAGCCCCTTCCCAGTACACAAAGGCAGTGCAAAGATGCCACACCACAGGCACCAGATTCCAGAAGTCTGCCCATAGACCAGGGACAGATCCTGATCCCCTTGCCTGGGTGACCCCAAACAGTTCAAGCCAAACAACCATCTTCCATTCCAGAGGGCTTAGTCAGGTACCATGAGGGCTCCACAGTCAACAGTCCATAGTTAACAAGTTTCTACTAGAGTGACCTGTCATATCTGCACATCCTCCCATCATGATCTTGACTTCCCTCGCCTGTCAAATCCCTCCTCTGTCTCATCAATTGGATTTCAGGAGCTCAGCCTGGTGCCTGGCCATGGATCTCTGTATCTGCCTCTATCAGTCACTGGACAAAGACTCTATAATGACAGCTAGGTTATTTGCTAGGCTGGTCACCAGAGTAGACCAGTCCAGGAACACTCTAGATCACTGCCAACAGACCAAGGTGAGGTCAACCTTTTGGATTCCTGAGAAGCTCCCTAGCACCCTGCTTCTTCCTATTCCCATGATGTCCTCATCTATCATGGTATCTTCCTCCCTGCCCTTCCACTCTGTCCCTGTTACAGCTTGACCCTCCCATTTCCTCATGTTCTCATCACCCACTCCTTGCCCTATGCCACGCCCCCCACACCCAGTCTACTCATGTAGCTCTAATCTACTTCTCCTTCACAGAGTCATCCATGTGTCCCTCCTAGGGTCTTTCCCTGTTAGCTAGCCTCTCTGGAGTAGTGTGTTGCAGTCTGGTAATCGCTTCCCTCACATTTAGAATCCACTTATGAGTGAGTACACACTATGTTTGTCCTTCTGAGTCTGGGATACCTCACTCAAGATGATATTTTCTAGATCCATCCATTTGCCTGCAAATTTCATGATGTCATTGTTTTATACCATTGTGTATATGTGCCATATTTTCTTTATGCATTCTTCAGTTGAGGGACATTTAGGTTGTTTCCAGGTTCTTGCTATTATGAATAATGCTAATATGAGCAGAGTTGAGCATGTGTTCTTGTGGTAAGATTGAGCATTCCTTGGGTACATGACCAAGTATAACTGGGCCTTGAGGAAGACTTATTCTCAATTTTCTGAGAAACCACCATACTGATTTCCAGAGTGGCTGTAGAAGTTTGCATTCCCACCAACAGTGGAGGAGCGTTCCCCTTGCTCCACATCCTCTCCAACATAAGGTAGCTCGTATATCTTAAATTAATCCAATTCTATTTTTCTATATTTTACCACATGTTCCAGGGCTTACCGTTCTACTGGCATGTTGTTCCTTGGGTGGCATGCTGGCATCTCTCCAGACTTCATCTTTTACTTTCCTGTCTCCCACCTTGTATTTCCTGCTTGCCTCTAAGCTGACTTGCCAAAGGTCAAATCAGCTTATTAATTAACCAATGAGAACAACATATATTCACAGTGCACAGGAAGACATCCCCCAGCAAACTATATTTTAATTGGACTTAATATCTGCTTAAAAAGAGAGAAAACACTCTTGGTACTGGTAGCCTATCTATCTATTCAGTGCCAATGAAATCATGGTTATTAGAGGAGTCTTTACGAATACCAATTTTCTGAATCAGTACAGTCCCTAATAATCAAAAAACATTTGGGCTTATACTTACATGTCAGTTTAGTCTACACAATTTATCAAAGAAATTTTATTGACAACATATGAAGTCCTCTACAGAAAACTACAGTCAATTAAATATCATAGTGGTGGATTCTAGACACAATGGACATGTCTATAAAACAATGACTGCACCCATGTCTTAGAGAATAATATGAAATCTGTAACAGAAATATTTAATTGCCAGATGCTCAGTGAATTTCCTGTGGAGTGTATCTCTTTTATGTCAGATTTATACTCATTTAGTCTTAGAAACAGCTGCCTAAATATGATCTGAATAAGTACAGCACCAACTGATATTCAGAGATGGGCAAGGAAAAGCCCATGACACCTCATCTTTACAAAAATACTATAAGAAACTAGGGATTGTTCAGAGTAGAAAAAAGGAACTTCCTCAAAAAAGAACCCAGTGATTGCTTAACTAATGCATCAATTAAATTATGGAAAAAAAATTTCCATGCAGAGTAGTAAAACAGGTTTTCTTCTTCTTTTCAGATATTATCATTTGGTTATCATGACCAGTTGTTTGGTTGGAATCCATAATTTCTGACAAAGACTCAAATGTTAAATAGTTGAACATTTGTGAACTGTATTCAGAAGTTCCATGGTTGGGAGGTTATAAGCACAATAAGGCCCTAACAAGAAGATGATAACTTTGTGATCTAATCAGAATTGTAGCACATGTCTCACTTAGACCATACAGTTTTAATGAGATGAGTAGCATTTTGTACATATATTCTCACAATTGCTGACTAAAATAAGAGAAATGTGGAGCAAAATCAGCCTTTCATCCATTTGCTGATATTTCATCTGCAATTTTCTTAGAGCAATTGAACTTAGCAGACCCTCTTCAGTGACTTAATGTTGCTTGGTTGAATATTTCTTTACATTATAGAAATATGTCAGCAGGCATGAGATCACATATACACACACATAAGTAGAAACACTAATCTGAGGTTGACTCTTTAAACCTATTTTTAGCTTAATATACTTAAAGTTATAGGTACAACCACAAAATGAATAGTTGGAGATTAGAAATAGAGTTATGGGAAATACTGTGTGTGTGCCCCGCCTGCAGGGCTACAATGCGTTCTCGACCACCCTAAGGATGGAATGATAGAGACAGGAGACACAAAGGAAATACACCAAGTCTAGATTCTGATCAAGGTGCAACTTTATTTTTCTCCAGGAGGGTTTATATAGTTCCTGCAGAGCGGGCAGAGAAAGAAGCTGTCATCTGCATAAGGTGGGGCAAGCTAACAGGATGTTTGTATATGATGTTTACAGGGTGAAAGGTTCAAGGGCTCTGACTCAATGTCCTGTTGCTAGGCAACCTGACTGTAAGATGACCTAGTTCCCTGTCTTAAGGGGGTCTGTATTTTTCCACTAACTAGAGTTTCTATCCTTGTTCCTGACATGTGTGTAGTATATTAATATTGAATAATGTCCTATAAATAATACATTCACATAATACAGCACATAATTTTTTTGTTAAATTCAATACCTCTGTTATACTACAATAGCCATTTAGAATAGTTTTCTGCCAGAAATCTGCCCTGGTTATGGCCAGGTCTTAGAGAGGAGGAAAGGAGTAGGTATGGATAGGTTGAGTCAGGGATAATAACCAAGAGAATCTTGCAGCCTGGCTGACTAGCAACCAGAGCAATTCTTTGTGTATATAGAATTCAGTAGGTAAGAATAGATTCATATTGGTCCAAAAACATAGATCAAATCATGTTTTTGGACACGAGTTTAACTATTTTCTCTTCCACATCTGGGGTTATAAGTTTAGTCAACATTGATGAAACATAACAAAACAGTGTTACCTTTTACAAACATTTTTCCTGAAGTTTAGTCATTTTTCTTAAACTATTATCTTTCACAATCAATGTTCCTCATCAACACCATAACCCAATTAATATGAATCTAGAGGTATATGACAGGCTGCTCTCAGACTGGTAGCTTTTCTGGCTTCAAGGACTCTAGACCAATATGAAATTTCCAAGCCAGGCTGGGGAGATTGCCATATTCCAAGCAGAGTATTATTAACTCTTCATAGTCAGAGTGTCCAAGAAAATTCCCCAGGCCAAAGTTGCTGTAGTCATTATTCAATTACTGGCATAAGCCAATAAACATTTTATATCTTTAAATATTCAAAATGAATATTTTGCATCTTTATAGTATTTTTATACATCTAATCCTGACAATCTTTTGCTTCATTGATCATAGACAGCACAATGGCTCTTCATGAGCTAACTTTTCTAAGAAAGGGAGGTTGTGGCACCTCATCCTTTTATCATCTTTTCACATCAGTCTTTGCCCACAAATATGAATTTCTGCGTGGGACAGAGGAACTTTTGGTAATTTTACTATAATGCTGCATGTGCCATATAATTGCCTGAGTGTACAGTGGAAAGGGGCTTGCAATCTGATCTGCGGCCAACTTTTCTAGCCCACCGAATCTTATGGACCTTTATGTTTACTTTGGTTTAATTATCTTGTTCTTGAGTATGTTTTAAGAATATCTCATGTCCTCATAAAGAGACCTCTGGCTTCTATATGTGTGTCACAACCTCTAATGTATAAGGAAGCCAGTGAAATAGATAAAACTCTCTCCCTGAAAGTTGAAGGTGTAGTGTGCTCAGGACTTTAATGTGGAAATCCTTAGAAATTCTAAATACTTGGAAGCAGAAATCCTGGGAGAAGGCATAAATCATTCATAAGAAAATTTCAAGCAATCCAATATCCCCAAATTGTACAGATATTAGAAGTTCCAAAGTATGCAGCACATAGAGCTCAAAACCAAAAATGGCAAGACAGCCATTATAGTGGTCAGGCTTTCTAGATCTTCTTGAAGCAGCTGTGAAGGCTTTCTGACTTTTGCCCTACCCATCTGATATGGCTGCATCAGTATTGTGCATGTTAGTTCAGTAAAAATTTCTTCAGGAAGCCTTTTCTAGTGAAATCAACCATTATGCCTCAATTATGAGGGATCCAAATTAATTTTTTTCTAGGGGTTAAAGTAATGGGGAAAAGTTAAATGATGTGGATAATTTCCTATTTTAGATGTACATTTTGTATTACATTAATGAACATAATACACTATGTTCATTAAAAATAAATTAGATTTTCCTCAAGTTGAAAAATTCACATGCACATGAAGAAAACTATGAGATCAGGCATTGAAAAAAAACAATTTCTGGTTTATATGAGTCATCTTTACAGTTTTGAAGACTAGTTTAAATTTATTAGCTTATATGGGGACTAGTTTAGTATTTATTTCATGTATTCTAAGAATAGGTAGAATTTAGCCGGGCGGTGGTGGTGCACGCCTTTAATCCCAGCACTCGGGAGGCAGAGCCAGGTGGATCTCTGTGAGTTCGAGGCCAGCCTGGGCTACCAAGTGAGTTCCAGGAAAGGCGCAAAGCTACACAGAGAAATACTGTCTTGAAAAACCAAAAAAAAAAAAAAAAAAAAAAAAAGAATAGGTAGAATTTGCAGATAGTTGTTATTATTCATTTCTGTCTATAAAATTTTATTACAGAAATCCTAATCTCAGGCTCATTAGTATTAATAATTCGGTAATTTTCATTCTTAATGAGAAATTATGAATACGATGCTTTGCAAACTCTCAAATAATTGCTTCTCCATTTAAATGAAGACAATTTCTCTATAGCTTTCCTGTCCAGTATGTATCCAATGATAGATCTAAGTGACCTTGTGTGATAATGAAGATAATACAGAGAGATATAACACTGGGACACAAAGAAAAGCTGGGATCAGGTGATCAGTGCTCTCTGAGGTGAAACAACAATACCTTAGAAGCTTTTTGTCAGTAATACCTACATTCAAGTAGAGTTAAAGATTTACTGCATGGTGATAATATAAAGACAGGGTTACTATCTGAAGCCATGCACATACTCATGCTTCGCTCATCTCATTCCTTATAGTCTCTTTAGCCTTGAATTGTTTAGGCCTAAACATCTAAAAAGAGAAAATTATGGTGGAGAGCTTTTGTCCCAACTATTATCATCCTCATGAGATCACAGGAGGATTTGTAGTGTTCCAAGACTCATGTGATAAGGGAAAGTTTGCTTGCCTTTGTGTTTGTGTGTGTCTATATCTATGATCCTTGATTTAGTTCTGCCCATGTAAACAGCTCTAGTTCACTCACAAACCAACTGAGCTCTATTGTGTTTCCATATATACTTCCAATGATTAAATCTGTTAGTTTTCCTAAAATAATTTGCTTTATATTTTCATGACATGTTTTTTGAACATTTTCTGTAATGCAGTAACTGGAATTAACTACAAAACATCAGTGTAAAAATGAATACCCAACATCTCAAAGCATCAGAAATTGAACACAAGTTTTATTATATTTACTGATAATTGAGAAATATTGGGGACTAATTTGGGGTTCAAAACAATATATTATATTATATAAAATCTCAAATATTAGCAACACAAATATTTGTAAAAAAGTTACAGCAGTCTCAGATCGATATCCTGAACCATAAAATATACAGAAAATTATATAGTGAATTTGACTTGATATAGTTATCCATAAAATTATCCTGGCATAAGACTTCACATTTTTAATTATTATGTTTTTTCTGTTGTCAAATTAATCCTATATCATTTTATAACATGATTATTATGTAATTCAGTTTGATACATTGCTATATATGTAGATTGTTTTCCAAAGAATATTTTTGTGAACATAAATTTTATTTCTTGGTAAAATGTTTATAAAATCACACCAAGCATAGGGCTTCCTGATGTCACTCATCTGACATGGATTAAGGTTAGAACATTTGCTAAAAGTTACCTTTCACTACTCACATTATAAAGAATGTTTTTATTGTGTGAGTCCTGGGGCAATAATTACCAATTGAGTTTGTATATTTCATGAATTTTCTGACAAGCTCTAAATTTTGAACTTCCTGTAAAGATTTTTTTTAATTGTGTACATTTGTTCAGTTTCTTACTGATAGTTATACTCTGTTAGGCAAGAATACCTGAGGACTCCATAGCACTTGCCACATTCTTAATACTGTATAGGTTCCCTCTAGTATGGATTATGTGATAATCTTCAAGATTTAAGAACCCAGAAAAAGTTTTTCCACGTGCTTTGTATTTGTAAGCTTTCTCTAATATATGGTTTTAGTGAGTTTTTGCAGAAATGATCCATGAGAAAAAGACATAACACATAACACATTCATTACAATTTTAAGGATTCTGCATTCAATGGGCTGTTAAGGTCTTGAACACTTGAATCATGGGCAAAAGACCAGCCACAATCTGTATATTTGTATCTTTCTTCTCCATTATGGATTCTTTGATAAATTTGAAGTGTTCAGTCCCTGGTAAAAGCTTTGTCACATTTTTTTTCATTTGTAAATTTTCTCTCCTTTGTGGATATTGTGATGTCTTTTTAGAGTTGAGATCTGCCTAAAGGACTTTCCACATTCTTCACATTTGTAAGGTTTCTCTCCAGTATATATTCTTTGATGACCTTTTAGCGTTGAGCCTAAAGTAAAAGACTTTCCACACACATTACATTTGTAAGGTTTATCTCCAGTGTGTATTCTTTGATGACCTTTTAGTGTTGAGTTTCTAGTAAAAGACTTTCCACATAGATTACATTTGTAAGGTTTTTCTCCAGTGTGTATTCTTTGATGAACTTTAAGATTTGAGCCTACAATGAAGGACTTTCCACATACATGACATCTGTAAGGTTTCTCTCCAGTATGTATTCTTTGATAAACTTTTAGTGCTGAGCCTACTGTAAAGAACTTTCCACACACATTACACTTGTAAAGTTTCTCTCCAGTATGTATTCCTTTATGAATTTGAAGTGTTAAACTTTGAGTAAATGACTTGTCATATATATTACAATTGTAAGGTTTATCTCCACTATGGATTCTCTGATGAACTTGAAAATTTGAGGCCTTGTTAAATGACTTGCCACATTCTATACATGTGTATAATTTCTATCCAGTATGGATCCTCTGTTGAATATGAAGTGTTGAACTCTGAGTGAAAGACTTGCCACATGCTTCACATATGAAAGATTTTTCTCCAGTATTGGTTCTCTGAGGAAGATGAAGAGAAAACCCATGAGCAAAGGATGTGCCATACTCTGTACATTTGAAAGCATTCTCTTCAGTTGTGAATTTTACAATGAGCTCTATATTGTGATTCATATAAAAGGAACATGTCATGCTCTGGACTTCTGTGTGATTCTTTTGTCATATGGATTTTATAATGCTCCTTAAGTACTGATAATATAGAAAACATCTTTCCACACATTTTACATTTATACAATTTTTCTCCAGTATGAACCACATTAATTCTAAGGAGGTCTGAATATCTCCTGTAACTCCTCCCAAATTTCTTATATTTTTGCCCAACACTGAATCTTGGATTCCTCTCAAATTTTGAAGCATCGGTGAAATACTGTCTACATTCTTTGGATTTTGGTTGTTTCCCTTCAGTGTGGCTTGAGTCATTTTGAATATTTGGAAGGAAATTGCAGGATCTGAATGGAAATGACACAGAGTTAGCTTTTTGAGGAGAAGCTGGAACTTTATCTATTCTGTCAGGAATGTCAGTGATGGGTGCTGGATGAAGATCATTTCCATCAGCATATGATTCAGGGTCCTCATTGTCAGATCTACATGCCCAGAACTTCCTTATGAGTAATTCCCCAAAGCTATTACATCCTAAGAGTTCTGATATTTCTCTTTGGCAAGTATCCTGAGTATACTCTTTTGGAAACAAGTGAATGGGATAACAAAACAGAGCTGGAAGAAATAAAAGGCAATTATTATCTAACTGTGTAGAATTAGACAAAAATAATATAGAAACCATTTCATAAAATGATACCAATATGTGGAATGTAGCAAAAACTTGTAACAGAAACATTCAGCACTTCTTCCATAAGGAATTAATGTCCAAAAATGATGAACATGAAGAAGTCCATATCATGAACTTGTATTTTATATGTAAAATTTGAAAGGTTCCTCCTTAAGCATGTCATGAAATCAACAGCTCTAAACATTATTTTTAGAATATGAAATGAAACTATTAGCCATTATTAAATACATTCTGTTCAATTGGAAGTTACATTATCATTTTAGATCAAAATCACATTTCCAAACACATAAATGATAAAATCATAGAAATGAAAACAATATAGTATATATATTTTCTCTGATTAATAATTATTAATGCATGTGAATACATTGGCATTCTGAGAGAGTGATTATTAAAAAACAATAAAATGATAATGAAAAACAAATATACCTATCATTTCCACAGAGCTTTATGGCCACAAGGAGAGAAATTTTCAAAATCCTCACACTCAATGTGATAATTCTATAAGAATTTTATTTTTTCAGATGCCTAAGAATATCTTAAATTGATAAAAGACTGGCCTTTCATCTCATCATTTGGAAAGCAGAGGTAGAGGCAGGTGGATCTCTATAGTATGAGGCCAACCTGATCTACATATTCAGTTCCAGGCCAATCATGGCTACATGTTTAGAGACCCTGTCTCAAAAAAGGGGAGGGGTAAGAAAAGTAAATTATATGTCCAGGCAAGAAAAAGTGCCAATAGAGTCAATTAGGCAAAGTGGCCCTGGGCAACATTAATATGCATGGGTTTCTCCCTTGTAAAACTAATTGTCAGCAATGCAAACATTGATCTTGGCCTCACTATGTCCTGTCCTAGTGTAACTAACTGATAGAACCATCCCAGAGGTCCCTTCAATATGAATCACAGTCTGGCTTTTTCTTAAAGTGCTCTTCAATGACTTGAAGGCAGACTATAAATGGTGGCCAGAGTGCATTACAATCTGTCTTTCCAAAGAGTCTTAGATCTCTAATACGGTTTGGATTCAGAAACAGAAAAAAAGGCAAGCTAGGCAGTGATGTGTCACATATCTTTAGTCCCAGCACTCAGGAGACAGAGGTTTTAATCCCAGAACTCTGGGGGCAGACTCAGACAAGTTTCTGTGAGTTCAAGGCCAGCAAGGACTACAGAGCAAGTTCCAGGACAGCCAGGACAGTTACACAGAGAAACTCTGTCTCCCCAAAAAACAATGAGATGATAAAAGCCCTACTGAATAAAAGTTACATTTTCAAAGTAGACTGAAATGTAGAATTCTATATCAAAGTGAAATATCATAACTCAGAGTTTACATGTAAAATTTGAAAATTCTTTAATATAGATTTAATTTAAAAATAATTATATTATTTCTTTTCAAGCTTATTCCAGCCACTTTTGCTCAAACTCTTCCCATATCCCCAAATAAATATTGTAACCTCCATTTGATAATTGTTACCCTTATGTGTTTATGTATGTATTTTTTCATATATATATATATATATATATCACTTCAGAATGTTAGTCCGGCTTTATTATTAGTGATAACACATGACAGATGGTAACTCTCCTTGTCAGAGCATTTATTAGGTGTCTGTAATTTTTTATTAGGGATTTGAGATAGAGGAACACTATGAATTGCGAAACAAAAATTTAGGAGGGTTGTTCAGTTATCATAGATGGAAAATCATTACAAAAGTTGAAAGAAAGACTAGTAATAACCATAGCTCCTAGCATAAGCATTGTTTCAAAGTTTCTGGTATAAAATAAATATGTGCAATGAGGATACCATGACTTTTTTCTTTCCTATCTGTATGTCCTTGAACTTCATCTTATCTTAGACTGACACTTAGGACTTCAAACAGAACATATAACAGGTATGAAGAGAGTGAGTATCCTTTATTTTCCCAATTATATAAAAGAACTCTTTTGAGTTTTCTTCATTCAGAATGATTATGTTGGTAATTACCTTGCAAAAATACCATATTCTATTTTATGTAGATATGTTTTTCCTACTGCTGAATTTTTATAATGAAGGAATGTTGTATTTTGTTAAAAACCTTTTCTGTGTTAAATGAGAAGATCATTTGGTCTCTTTCTTATAGTCTGCTCTCCTAATATTTTACATGTATTGATTTACTTAAGTTGATTTCCATTAACATCTCTTGGATGAAGTCACCTTGATCATAGTAGATAATTATGTTGAGATGTTCTTGAAGTGGAAATTTTCCATTTTATCATTTAATTGGAAATATATTACTGTTAATTCTTCTCTGATGGTCTGGTGGGTTTTGGTCCTGAATCAATCTGGCTTTCTTTAGTTTTTTGAGAGGTTTTCATTGTTCCATCTACTCAACTTTAGGACATGTGACATAAAGAAGTATTTATGCCATTTGATTTATCTCTGTTAGGTATGCTAAAAAATTCATGCATTTGTTTTTGATATTATGTATATTGTAGGTAAATAGATGCAAGTGAAAAGAAATATCCTAAGCGACTTAACCCAGAAAGACAAATACTTCATATTTTCTCAAATATGTATAGGCTAGCTTTTAAGAAATGGGTCTCCATGTTTTCTATAGAGTTTAGGTAGACTGGGGATATAGGGTTTTTTTCCACAGAAGGGATTATTTAAAACAGTATTGTTAAAAAGAATAAGAAATTAAAACAGTATTAAGTCATGAAAGTGATGATAGAGTAGTGTAGAATAGCAAATACAAAGAGAAGTAACTATGATTACAGTCCTTTTTTGATACCCTGAAGAATACATTTATATATTTATTGACTATGTATGTGGCATACATATGATTAGAGAGTATTTTTCAGAAAAATCTTTCCACTGTCTGTGCCTTGTTGATTGAACTCTGGTCATTAAATTTGAAGGGAAGCATCTCTACCCATTATGTTATCTCTCGGGACCACATGAAAAATCTTTGAAGAAACATAGGGAACCATACTTCTGTAGAAGCTTGTTAAAAGACATACATGTCTAAAAACTATTTAAGTGTCATTATGATGAAATGGTGTAGTCAATTCTCAAACTGGAAATCATGTGCCAACAAATAAAGCCTCCTGTGCAAGTAATGGGTTGTATTGTTTTCTGGTGTTATACTCAAACATAGTGGGTATAGCCTTTGTAATTACTTATCACCAAGATTCCATGATGAGGCTCACATACTTAAAATATTGAATGGAAAGATATCAAACATGTGATCAACTAAAGAGTTCAACCCAAGTAAAACACATCCATAGTGTAGATGGCACTATTTGTGCTACATGATGAGAAAAGTCTTCATCAGGTTTTGCCTGTTATAAACCATGTGACTGTACATTCTGACTTGTCTGAAATAAATGTGCAAAATTGGCACATTGTGTTGGCAATAGCTAAACAGAATTTGATTGTCTAAAAGCCAACTCCATTATTGTAACCCATATCTGACACTGTTATTGCAGCTAAAAAAACTGAAACCAAATTGGTCATGGGACTAGATAAAAAATTGTTATTCTGGGTGAGTACCCTTCCTTGCCCCAGACCCCATCCCTGGGCACCAGCCACTCCAGGGAAGACCTACCCAACTTGGCCCCAGGTTCTGGCCACCGGGCAGGTTCCCTGCTAGCCCCACCGGGAAGGATCCCCTTCTCCAAGATCCCTGGCAGGCCCTGCAGTCTCCACGCCCTGTCCCCACGCCCATCCGCCTGAGCCCCAAGCCTCTTCCTGAGACTTAGAGGCCGGCCCCCAGCTCCAGTCTTGCTCCGGACTTCCCTTTTGGAACACTGGTCTGGCTGAACCAAGTGTGCGGATAAGGCCAGTAACGAAGCACAAGGAGATGGGCAGACGTCAAGGCAGAAACATATACAACAAAATGAATAGCAATACAGCATCACCAGGCCCTAGCCCTCCTCCAACACCTAGACCTGAACATCAGAAATTGGAAGAAGCAGAAGAAAACAGCCTTATGAATGACATCATGAAGAAGCTAGAGGCTTGTGTAGAGGAAAAGACAAAAAAATGTGAAGAACGCTGTAAACAACTAGAGGAAAGGGCAAACAAATTAGAAGAAATCAATAAAGTCCTGGAAGAAAACAATAAAATACTGAGAGAAAATCAAGAAAAATCAATGAAACAAATGAAGGAAACAGTCCAAGACCTGAAAAGGGAAATAGAAAAAATGAAGAAGACACAAACAGGGAATGCTGGAAATAGAA